ACCTTTCTTTCTTTCTTCCTTTTTTTTGCAGTTTTTTGGCTGTGGCCAGTTTTGAACCCAGCACCTTTAGTATATGGGGCCAGTGCCCTACTCCTTGAGCCACAGGCGCCGCCCTGCAGAAAACTTCTGACATAATAGTCCTCTGCATCACCATTACTGGATCCTCCCCCCTATAAATTTAGAAATGATACAGATTCTGGTTTCTGCAGCTGCTTTTTTTTTGTTTTGTTTTTGAGACAGGGTTTCACTCTGTTGTCCCAGGCTAGAGGGCTGTGGCCTCAGCCTAGCTCACAGACACCTCAAACTCCCAGGTTGAAGTGATGCTCCTGTCTCAGCCTACTGAGTAGCTGGGAATACAGGCATGTGCACAACGCCTGTCTATTTTTTTTCTATTTTAGTAGAGATGAGGGTCTTGTTCTTGCTCAGGCTGGTCTTTTTCTTTTTTTTAAATTGAATAATTTGCTTTATTTATTTATTTATTTATTTGCAGTTTTTGGCCAAGGCTGGGTTTGAACCTGCCACCTCCAGCACATGGGGGTGCTGTACCCCTTTGAGCCACAGGCGCCGCCCTCAGGCTGGTCTTGAACTCCGGAGCTCAAGGAATCCTCCTGCCTCGGCCTCCCAGAGTACTACTAGTATTATAAGTGTGAGCCACTGTACCTCCCCAGACATTTTCTTTTTAAATGAGTTTGATCCCATGAATCTGATTCAATGACAAAGTTTTGAGCTACAGAAATTTGAGGACCAGACTACCAAACAGCGTGTCACCCTACAACTTATGCCAGAGCCAGCAGCCTCTGTCTCAGTGGTTCTCAACCGTCCTAATGCCGTGACCCTTTCATATAGTTCCTCATATTGTGGTGACCCCCCCAGCCATAACATTATTTTCATTGCTACTTCATAACTATTTTGCTACTGTTATGAATTGTAATATAAATATCTGATATTATTATCATTTGACCCCCAAAGGGGTTGTGACCCACAGGTTGAGAACCGCTGGTCTAGATGGCCATACTTATCTCGTTGTATCCCTCATCGTACATCACACCTAACTTAGGAACCTGCTCTACAGTTTCACTAATGTCCACTTTGGATGTCCCCAGTGGGCATCACCACTGCAATCTCTCAGTCATCTGCTTTCTTGGAGATTTTGTTTGGAAAAATATTCTTTCTTAAGTTGAAATTAAACTAGACCCTTCATAGGTCCCACCTACAGATACTTTCACATGTATAAGCAATGCTCTGAGTGCTTACGTGACCTCTCATTTCCTCCAGAAGAACTTGAACATGGTGGAGCCCAGCCTTCTCCCCACCTTACTGTCCTCCTTTCTAGCTGTCCAGTGCCTTTTCTGAAAACATGACCACACCCCCAAATCTGGTCATTCCACAGGCCCTGTTATTTCTGAGACATTAAGTTAGCAAAAGTTCATTTCTTTTAGAGGCTGCTTCACTCTGTCGGCTGGAGTGCTGCAGATAAAACTCCTTCAGCTAAATCCATTTCCCCTTCCTCTTGGGTTTGAAGCTGTTGAAATGAGATTTACACCATTAGGATGGTGGGCTTACCCTGGCCAACTGATTTCCCCCTTTGGTGAATGATGCTTCTGTTCAATCCTAAGGAGAAGGATGCTTAGCTCAGAACCAGTATCCAGGGTTGTCTCAAGAATTCAGACCTAATTGATGAATGAGTTTATTTTTCTTAGGAAAAAAAACAAAAACAAAAACCAAATCCTACTTTTCTCAAAGATACGAGCCATCACTAGAGAGTTGGGGAAGTGTTTCACTCATCTCTGTCCTCCAGTGTATAGACTTGACGCGGATTCCAAGGAAGAGACATACAAAAAAAAAGAGGGAGAGAGGAAGAGAAAGAGAGGAGAGAGAAAGGAAGGGAGAAGAAAAACTATTTCCTGGAGTCTTTTTGTCCCCCTTCCAGTTGTAGAATAGAAATGTTGTCTATACAGTGGAAGTTTTACCAAACCTAGGAGGTACTGAGTCGGTTTCTCTAGGGACAGCCTGACACACTCTGGGACACATTTTCTGTCATCTGGAATCTCCTTCCTTCCACAAGCCCAAGCTGCCTGGAGCACTAATTTTCCTATATGCCATCCACTTCATTTAGAAAAAAGTTCCCATCCCTTGTTCACCCACCCTCAGCCCCTCAGCACCCTTATTCCCTCCACTTGTCACTCCACCCTCGACTCCCCAAGCCCCAGCCTGCCAAGGCACACAGGTTTAAAGTTTAGGCTGTGATGTTGTCCTTGTCCGCAGATCACAGGACAGACATTCCTGGGGACAAGTTTGAGAGGCCATGTGCTGGTGCCTCTTAGGAAGGGGGAAAATCCCTGCAGCTCGGTTTTTGTCCCAATGGTCTGTTCAGTGAGTGATTCCCGTTTCCCCAAAGGCTGCCCCTCATTAGCATGAACGGGGGTGGGGGTGTGGAGAAGGGGTGGGGGGAGAGAAAGCAAGCAAAAGCTCAGGCTCAGTTTTAGAGCCTGGGAACCCTGTCCACGAAAATGACAGCTAGAGCCTTCTGGCTTCTCTGTCTGATCGTGGGCTCGTCCCCCGAAGCCCCAGAGGCAGAGAGAAAAGGTAAGATCGATGCAGTGCGGAGCCCTGGAAGAGCTGCTGGGATTCGGGGGGGACCTGGGGAGAGGGCGCGATGAAGGGCGGGACGAGGAAGGGGGTCAGAGCCTGCAAGAGAGGACACTCCGGGTCTGTGTTCGTGTTAGAAAGGAGCAAACTGTGTCCCCAAGATTTTGCGTCTCTTGGCAGCCTTTTCGGAAAGACGCCAGTTCAGCTACTGAAATGATCCCGAGCGAGCCGGGCAGGCTGGAGAAAACTTTGCATGTTAAGTAGTTACTCCATCACCGAGGAGGGAAAGTGTCAAAAGGGGTCGTGGCGCGCCTTTTGCCGCGGGGTCCGCCCCGCTCGGTGGCTGCGCGGGGGCGCCCTGGGCAGGGCTGGGGGAGGACAGCCCGAGTCCCCGCAGCCCCAGCGCACAGCCTGGGGACACCTGAACCAGGCTCCGTCTTTAAAACACACATAGATTTCACGCATGGAATGAAATGAGGTTACAGAGGGAATGGAGAAATAAGGGGTTCTCTGAGGCATGGTGTTTTTGTTTTGCTTTTATGTGGATGTTCCGGTCGCTTTACTATCTCTGGGAAAAATAGCTTCCGCACCTCGCAGGGCAATTTACTTTGGGTTATTTTTCCACATGGAAATTGAATGACTTCAGTGGCATTTAACCCAAATATCAGACAATCTTTCCCATGACAACAGATGGTGATATCAATGGGGAAGCAGTTGTGAGGTCAACAGTTGACAGCCAGGAATTGGATGTCCACCAGAACTTTATTCAGCTGTGTATGGCACAACCGCTTAACATAATGAGTCAGAATCAACCTCTTTGCAAAAACACGAACTCTAACCAGCTATTATTGCCGGAGGAAAGCTGATTTTAAAGGAGATTACCAATTTGGCAAGACAAGTCACTTTAAATGAAGTGTTCCCAGAGCTGCAGATGGGCAGACGGAGCTCTTTAATGCAGGGGAGGGGAAAATAAAGACAAATTCTCCAGCCCTTGAGCCTGTTTGGAGGGCACTGGGACCCAGGCAGGCGGCGAGGTGATATTGTGTAACTGGGCATGGAAAGTTGCCCAGCTTCAAAGCTGGCTGAAGTTTGCTCACCAACCTGTCTGCAGAGCTAGGAGAAAATCATTAATAATTTCAAAAATTTGTTGTCATGCCATGCCATTTAGGAGTTTTTTCTCCACCATCTAACGGGTGAAAATATGTAAACGATGTATGCTTTTATACTTCACCAGGGGCCTGTGCCTCCTAGCCAAGCTTTAAAAACCTTACTTAGCTGTGGTTTACCAGTAAGTGGTGTCCAAGAAGCCAGATAAAAATCCACTCACAAATACTAGGTTCTGCTGAGACCACGATGACAGTGTAAACACGGATGGGAAAACCAAATAGCTCTGTTGTCAGGGGCGCTTAAACAATTAGGAGAACCTGTAATGTGAGTCCTTTCCCCTGGGGGTTGCTCTTGGTACTTTCTCAACAAACTGTAAATAGCAAAAAGGCGGATGTTTATGTATACATACGTATGTATTTTAAAAGAAAGACAAAAAGTTCGTTATTAAACCCATGTTGTCAGAAATGTTTAGTCTTAGGATAAATTGGAGGTGACAATTTTAAAAGCTATAGATTTGAAGATTCCCGAACAAAATAAAATATTGTCTTCAGGCCTCTGATTACTTATGTGGGGCACAAAGTTGTCCTACTCGGACCCATTATCTGAGGGCGGGACCCTCAGCTCCTTTTTCCATCGGGGCTTCTCCCTCTTTTCCTTCCCGTCCAGGTCTCCCGGTCACCCCCGCTCGCCCTTGCAGGTGCTCGCCAAGTCTCCCCTGTCCCCTCTCTCGTCCCAGGCCCTTTCTTCTGCCTCTCCCCGCCTCGGCGCTCCCAGCCTCCTCCCCTCCCGGCCTCCCTTCCCCTCCACTCGCTCCCCAGCCTCCCGGTCCCGACCTCTCCTGCCCTGACCGCCTCCCCGCCTCTCTCCACAGCCTCGCCGCCGCACCACAGAAAACCCGACCCCAGCGGGGGCCCGAGCACGGAGGAGACACCGGGGCCCCGGGCGCAGCCGGTCCCCGAGGCGGCCCCCACCGCCCGCGCCTGGCC